TTGTATATCATCTGCAGTCGTTTGAACTGTGATGTTATCATAGTTTTTGAATTTCACGGTCCCATTAGATAATTCCATGTAGGTGAATTGTATTACTTCTCTCTCATTCTTGTCATTTAGACTTTTGAAAAAAAATCCAACTGATGTATGCCTGTGTGTTGAGAACATGAGCATCTCCTTTAGATTCGAATTTATGTCCACTATTCCATGCCTTTTCAAACGATCCACGGATTCTTGAAGCGATGAATAATCAATCAGTCTTGAATTCAACACAAATTCTTTCCCATGTGGCACATAGAAAGTTTTAAATCGAATCAAAGGTCGACATACGACTCGAAAAATCATAGTTACTGGAGGTCTCATTTGCTTTAAAACAAATTCATCATTGCTTGTATTCCACTTGGGCCGATAATAGGATAGTCCATTGTTTGAAATTTCCAAAGAACTGATTTCCACCACTTCAAAGTTATCATGGAGTAACTGGCCAATATTCGGTTTTAAGGTTATAATAAAGGCTTCTTTACCGGGAGGCCTTTGTTCGATTCTTACTGGGATACTTCGATTCTGCGAATTGTAATAGATATTCTGGTATATTATTTTCGTTTCTACTGGAAACGCCGCAATTTGAATTTCAATAATCATGTCATTAATTTGACACTCTGGCCAATCGTCGCAGATAGCTATACAAATAATGTCTGATGTAAAGTCGGAAAGATAGTTTTCATTTCGCAGGTAGTATATTTCGCCTCGATTTAACAATTGAGAACTGAATGACGTTATTTTGGATTCGTTGAAATATATATCACCGTAGACTGGAAATTTTGTAATCACGTATATAGCACCATTGATATGACCAATCAAATCCGCGTTTAAGGGCACAAAAGTGTCATTCATTGTTACCCGAATGGGTTTTTTCGTTCCTAGTTTGGACATATTCAATGTATCCCCTCTGTGAATAATAACTGGGACATTTACTGTTGCAGATTGGGTGCCCTCTTTGGAATTGGGGAAAACCTAGCAATTCGTGGAGATAGATAAGTAGTCACTATAAGACAAGTAAAGACCTTAAGGTTAATGAACTTACTTCCAGCGAAAACTTGTCTAACATTCCGGAACCACCTATGTATTTATAGACGAGAGATTTGCATACAGTGTCTCCAACTTTCACCACTCTGTCATCACAAAGTAAATCCCCATAATGTGGAAGACTTTTCAAAACATACGCACAGCTTCGTGTAGGCTAAATATTTTGAAAATTGTTTGTTTTCATTAACAGAATGCAGGATAAGTGTAGGAATATATGTCAAATAATACCTGATAAACAGTGTACCCAATGCCATACATTCGGATATCATCTAGTCGAAGACTTGTAGAACCATCAGATTTGGCTATCGCAATTCTACGACTCGTTTCTGCATATTTCTCCAGAATGACCACTTCAATTTTGCGTATTTCACTAACATATATTATTCTTTGATGATTGGAAGATATTGAGTCGATCACCTGGGCTTTTAGCGAAAGAGACGTTTTGATTTGCGTCGATTTTGGGCAGGATATGAGAACATGACCACTGTAGATATCACACTAAATATCAAAAAAAACAAATAAATTTTTACTCCTTTCTGATAAAAGGTGGTGGCTAGTTTTATCATGCGATTTAATATTAGAAATTTTGTCTTGCTCATCTAGAACTAATAAAAATTCCAATAAAATAAAAACAATTTTAAATGGGCTATTTTATTGCGAAAGAAAATAAATATCTTTTTCATTGAATGCTCAAATATATGATTGAAAATGATTATGTAGCAATTGTATTTCATTTTGCTAGAAAAGCACTTCTGTTTTCATAAAAGTAGTACGAAAAAATTTCGATGATGACTGTCAATTTCTTGGACAGGATAATAATAGACGCATTGTTATTCGGGCAAACCTAGTTTGTCAGACGGCAATTTAATACGCTTGAAGAAATTAGGATAAAATGAAATAAATATTGCCGTTTTATCAGTGAATTCTTGCATTTCGGTCTCATGATAGTTACCAGTTAATAAAATATTTGCTATATCTTCTTTTGATTTTGATTGGAAATATCTGAAATGAAGTTTTTATTTAAGTAGTTGAATTGCCTTGATGTTTGCTGAAAGTCCCTTTTCTTCTCGTTGCTATGCGTTTCTTTAGCTCAGTTAAGGAACTTGTGCGGTCATTCGCGGAATATCTTACTAACAGTTCCCAAGCGCTGGCAATTCACAAAGCAATGATTCAAAGTGGAATATTGGTCTTATTAAATGTTTTAAATTGAAGTTTGAATAACAGGCTTCATGAAAGCAAAGCATTTAAAATGCAGCTTTGAAGCTGTTCATTCGGCTTTAAGAATAATTATACGGAAATTGTTAAGACGAAATCGTATTGGTAAAGTGAAAATGATAATTGAACTCCAAATAACGCGTCTTTAATTGATCTTCCTCCACATCAAGTTCAAAATTACAATTGCTCAGTGCGGAAAACAGCTGAACTCAGTAAACATTACGATGGCGCAATACGGAAGTAAGAGCAACAAAGTCATAAATCTGAACGGCCTGTTTGGAATGATGTCGTTAGATTATTTAATTCCGTGTTATACACCTCGATCTCGGGTTCAAGTATTTAAGCATTCGCCTAAATTTACCAGAAGGTGTTTTTACGCGTCATCCAAAACTTATTAATTAATCTATTAATTTGGGCATTCAGTTACTTTCAAAATGAAATGTGGAAAAGTTTTGATATGCTGATCTCACGTGTGTTCTCTTAACCTGAACTCAAATAATAGGAATGATTGAGCAGCATTTATCATTTCATGCAACACTTAGAGCAATGCTAAAAAACATTAAAATCATTAAAAGACTCTAAATTTGATATAGTTAAGTAAGAATAATTTTAATGAAATAGAGTAGATTCATAGCTGAGGTTAATTATATAAAACGAATGACTACTTGGTACAAGATTCCTATCTTGTGACCTATTGTTAATGATTATACAATTAAACTTTCTTAGGAGGTCTTTATTAAGACATTTTATGTGGGTAATAAAGGACTCAGACTCTAAATGGTCTAGAGATGAAAGTAAGTGGAAAGAATTAAGGAGGGCAAATTGAAAGAGGAAGTAGCCATCTTGGCCAAATGCAATCCCCATGATGATAACTACGCCGGCCTTATCTTGCCCCTAGCCATATTCAACACCCAGTTCGTCTTCCTCATTGGTCCAATGTGTGGGAGAGCGCATTTCCGTGTTTGGTTGGGTCATTTTATAGCTCATTATGGCTAAAGAAATGTTAATAATTCAATCTCAGATATATTCCGCCAAGGATAAAAATTGAAGGTAAATTGAGAATGTCAATTGTCTATCATTGAATACATTGATCAAGTAAATAAGTATAGTTTTCGCTCTGATGCTTTTTTCTTTAATTTTCTAAAATAACCGGATTTGGGTTTACTTTTATTAAGTTCATTAGTCTTTATATAGCCTTAAAGATGGAAATGCCTCCGAAAACCCGTTTTTTAAACTGCAAATCAGAAAAAGTGGAACGGAACGAGAAAATGGAGTGCTAGTTAATGCAGGTTTCTATTCTTTAAAGCTAACTACCATTAAAATATTCCCCTACTTTCTTTGAAAGCCAAGGTATAAAAAGAAAGCTTAAGAGATAGAACATTGTAAGGATTGAGAGGCTTAAACAAAAAGTAGAGGATAATCAAAATTCTTATTTACAGGACCAAAGTTCTCTCATTTGCGATTCATCTCTGAAGATGACCAAACAAATTCTAAGTACTGCACAGCCAAACTGTACTTCTGTGTAGAATTCTAAATTAATTGACTAATTAGAGATGCTCACTATCTCGTGTTCGCCTAAGAAAATGGCTATCTTTGTTTTATTTGTCCTTTATCTAAGTGCTCTTGCAGTTATCTTGTGTTTCCTTCCATATTCTAGTATGATTTTAAAATGGACAGATTAAATAGTTAAATTAAAATATGGATTTACTTGCGTGAATGTGGAAGTTTGCAATGTTGATGTGTAAATGTTCGTTGCTCGCTTGGCTACGAAAAAACAATGTGGTTGAGCGTCCATGACTTTGAATTCCACTTGCAATCCACCGGTTTTGCAAGCCCTTGTCAGATCATAGCTTTGTTTGTCAGCTAAGATTAACAGTGAGTTGATGTTTGTCATGCTAACATCACGGAAACTGAAACGAATATTATTGCTTTAATTTAATGCCAAAATGAATAATTTATTCAATTAAAAATATGTCGATTGACACACGCACAAGTCAATTTGACCGACGATTGGGTTCAGCTTTAAGGAGAGGTTTGTGACAGCCTTCACTTCGATGTTGAAATCGTGAGCCGCAGACTCGTAGTTGCCATAAATTAATGAGAATTTGAAACCCGCGCTGAAAGATTTTCCTGAAAATTTCATTGGCTGTTTCATTGATTTGTAGACAATTAATGACTCAAAACGTATTGCCAATAAAGTGTCCATTCGAATAACTAGAAGATTAGTTTATTCCCTCCAAAAATTTACCACAACCAAAGCAAAACTGAACAAAAATTTTTCTTGCACCCTGGCTACACTTGAAAGAATAGTAAGAAAAATGGCTTACTCAAATTCACGTATACAAGACAAACCCCTCAAGCTGTAGAGAAAGACTTCTGTTGGGAGGAAGAGTTTTAAATAATCAGTTGAAAGTCAATTCTATTTATAGAAATTTATGTTCCCATATCTGTAGAATTCAGGTGTGTGTAATAATGACAGAAAAGAATGCCCTTTAGGACGAATCATCTATCCACGGACGTCACGTTAGACAGGCGTTGTCAGTGACCTTATTCTGGATGATTTATGACACATTGTAGACAGGAGTAATTCAAAGGCCAACTATCAGACTGTTCTTTACATTTTTGACTCATGATGTTATGGGAATCCATAAAAAATGAACTTTTGCCAAGGAAGAAAAGAAAAGAGCAGCATCTTCCATATTAGCAAAACCCGTTAATACTTCGAAATATAAAATTGGTTCAGTTTCATTTGTTTTCAAGTTCTATAAACTCCTATATTGACCGAGGAGAGTAAAGTGGAGACATTTGCAGAATGCCATACTGGAGGAAAGTTTATACCGTGGATATGTAACTAGCCGCATTGATGGGTGGCAAATGAAATTCAGATTTTTGCAACGGGAAATCCGATATAGTGCCAATACGAGCGAGAGGTATTTCAGTCGCAGTAGAAAGATTATTCAAATCAGCCAAAAATAACAAATGTTCCTCTAGGTACTTTAAATTTTCAATCGAAGTGCCTCAATGTACTTTATTATGAACGCAAACCCCAGACACGTCTATCAACAAGCATTAGCTTTACATACATAAACCTGTCAATCCATATGATGCCTTCCTGACATCGTGCAGATGGAAGCAAGTCTAGTCAATTAAGGTTGTCTATTTTGATGATTCTACATTTTATTCTTTTAATTATTTTGAATTTGTTAACTGAACTCAGTTTAGGTCAGATACGTTAGAACAAACCAAGTACAAATCCACAGACTTAGCAGCGATTTCAATTTTTACATATTTACAATTATAAATTACAATTACTATTCATGAATATTCATGTCTATTTGATATTTTGCACTTTCGTGACTTGAATTCTTATATGTTTCTTTGTTATCACTGAGAAAATGATAAATTATGAATGTTTCATTTACTACGAGATTTAGGTAGCCTTATGAACAAAATAAAGTAGTTTGTCATTGAATTCAATGGTAACATATCCGTCAGTCATGATTTTTACAATACATTTCAAATTATCAATTGAAATCGTTCCGATTTCTATGTCATTAGAATTTGAAAGTTGAATATAACATCAACTACTGACTAACTGCTCTCTGACAATTATGTTGGGAGAAGAGACAATGAAGGCTGTTTTGAGCCAGATAAATCGTTTGCTATCTCCCTTAGATATTGATAAATATTGCCTCCAAATATTTTTATACCAAATGGCAGGCTGTTTGATAGTTACCATTAGCCCTTTAGTTGACTTCAGGCTTCACAGAGGGGAAGAAACATCAAAGTGAAAAAAGTCGAGAGGTAGGGGTGGAAAATAAGAGTGTTTTAATGATGTAAAAGATAGACACAAAGGTAGAAAAAAAGTGTGGTGAGTACTGTGGAAGTAGTGGAATATGACATAGAGTGGGGTGATGGTAATTTAAAGAGAGAAGTCCATTGTCGGTTAATAGACTTTTTGCCTTATGAGTATACGTTGCCCAGAGTGCACCACGCGGACGTTTTGGCTCTAAATATCTCTTCTCACGTTAAAAGCCCACCTCCAACCGAACGCACTCGAAATTTCATCATAAATAGCTTCAAGAACAGTGAACTCTCGTGAGTTACTTTTAAGTAGGTAAATTAGATATGTTTCCGTTCTAAAACCGCCCCCCCCTAACGCACCCCTCCCCCCTCTATATAATTGAAAAATACCTATCGCACATTCAATTGATATATTGGGATCGATTTCCGAACCCAAATAGACAAATTAATTTAACTGTCTAACTAATCCTATAAGTCATGAAGACAAAGAGAAATATAGTAAAGATACCAATCTGACACGATGAAGAAACAATTTCCTGAGTTAATTAGTAGAAAAATTGTTCAACATCATTTTAGTGGGCAATAAATTTCAGTTTATTACTAAGAGCAAAAATTTTCAGACTCAAAGTTTTAGAGCACACGTTGGTAAGACAAACCATTCCGCTTAAACGCTTCCAAAACCGCTAAAGACATTATTGTAATTGATGGTTAAGTGCATGCAGTCCACCAAAATTTAATGACTGTTTAAAAATTTTATTCAGAGAAACTTGCTTAATTCAGAGCTAGACCTCTTAATTCTTCCATTGATTCGAATAATCATTTAACAGTGAAAGAGCAATACAGAAGCATGTATCTCAATTGTCAGCAGTGAAAATGTACTGAATATGATGTACCATATGTACCATATCAACTTATCGACGGTAGCAAAGATGGTTTGAACGAGAACTAATGATAACTATCAAAACGCCTGCCATTTGATATAAATAAATAATATTGGTAGCAAAAAACAGTGAATGTCTTCTAGTCTCTGTGTGCATCGACAACATTATCGTGACCTTCCGAAAATTCAGTAATTCAAGTGATGTGGCAAGAGGGAGATCTAACACGAATTCTATATTCGATAGACCCAGAACATTATCACCTTTCTACGATTTTGAAATGCGAATGCTTTATATTTTGCAAACACGAAGAGGTGTTTACAAAATAAGACCAATAAGCCACAAGAGAAATGGAAGCGAATCGGAAATAATGGCAAAAATATTTGCATTTACTACTGAAAACAAATAACAAAAATGATGAGCACTTTATTGTTGTGTTTAGAATGCAGATTAAATGCAAATGCTAGCGTCTAATGAAGTAAAACACTTATCGAGATGACATTGAAAACAAAGAATTTTTTTCCTTCTATTTATCGTTTTTAAGTTCTAAAAGTTCCTCTTGTCAATGTTTGAGACATCAAACCTACCTGTGTTATTATTTCAATTTATTAAAAGGCCTTTTATATTTTCCACGGCGCGTTGTATTGTATCTTGTAATGTCAATAATTGTGCGCGCTTTTCAAGCATTAATTAGTGCGTCGATACATGACAATTTTATGAAAGAATAGGATCAAATTCCCTAGAATTAAGCTGTGGTCATAAAAAATAAGTACCTTGAAGTTAGGGGCTTTAAATTATTCTCTAGCGATCAATTTTACGGAATTGGTCGTGGTTATTTGAATTTTAAACGAAAACCATGGTATCATCCTGTTTTAAGTTGATATTTCAAATTAATGCACATATGGTAGACTTACCGTCGTGATAAAAAACGACTCTGTGTTGTTGAATGTCCTCATTCGTGAATGTGCTTACTGGAATCACTTCACTGGCAGACGAAGAAATTAGGCCACCTTTTAAACCCCTAATTCTATACTCAATGCGTGAAAAATCTGAAACATAAGGAAAGATTGGTAAGTTGAACATCTATTATCTGGTAAAACCTTTTCACGATAAGCAGGTAAAGGTTCCATTATTAAGGCCAATTAAAAGGTAATTTGTAAATTTGGACTTAATCTTGAATTTTTTCACCACTCATCGCTTGAGATAAGATGTATAGGTGATGCACAAATTGCTATCATCGCTTTTAGGTTCGTTAAAGGATTCATTCCTTGAATTCTCGTGAGTGGCAACATTTTAAATTAAAATTAATCGGAGTTCGCAAAATGTTTGAAGATGTAGATTAGGACTTAAATTATAAAATTTAAACTTTTAGCATACGATTAAATTTAACGAATTCTGAATGTGAATCAATTACGAGGAAGCAAAATTTCGATTTTAAATTTTAATGCACATTGCTAAAACGAACATTTACAAATGACAGATAAAAGATTGAATATATAAATCCATAAATAAATAATTGTTCTGATTCATTTATTTAGTATCTATTGGGGATTAATTTATAAATTCATCATATCCTGTTTTTGACATACTATGACCATGCAATTGAAGAATACATGCCCATTTTATTCAGTGAGTAAATATGATGCAAAAATTGAAATGCATAATGTTAATTAGTACTGCGTAATTAAAAAGAATAAAAACAACTCTTTGCATACTTCTTCAATGTAAATACAATTTAATGCTCTCTTGAATGTCCTGTGGTCTTTGATGCGAGTTATTGTGCTACACTTCATTATCCAACTGAGAAATTAGAACCGATAATTTATTCGCCACATGGAGAAAGAATGTGCAAATATCGAATATCGCAAAGCAAATATTTTTCCTCACAATTGCTTGTATAACCTCGTGGAATTAGTGGTTCGGTTAGAGCCAATGTGCAAAAAAATTTAAACTCTAATGAAGCAATCGTTTTCATTGGAATCTTTTAACGGATGTCAATTATTTCTCAACAGAAATGACATTCAGATCTAATTTGAAAGATCCGTGAATACAGCATATAGGCAAATGTCTAAGATGCATATTTTCATCTAAACATTTTGAAGAAATGGTGAATATCTACCATTGCCCTTTTGGTTTTAGGTATTTATATTAAAATTTATTATAATATAAAGAGGAATTGTGGTTCAAATTTTAAAACTATTGCCTAAATCATGGAGAATAGGTAATAATTAGGATTGATACTTTTTGATGTCAAATTTCTAAAACTTTCTTGTTATGAGAGGTGATTGTAAGGCTATTGTTCATAGCGTAAATGCCAATTAAAACTTTCTGATTCGAATAGGTAAGTAATCGACAATAGCATGTTGTTTATGCGGTCTGGATGTGATATGAAATGGTTCAAAATAATTAATCTATACAAATAGACATTGAGGGTTGAAAGATACATGTGTAGAACTCAACCTCGATCGTATATAATGTCAATATCTGGTCAGTGAACTTGATTGCTTCATTATTCAATTTTTTAGCGACATTATTAAGTTGAATTCTTCTTTTCATGTGTGTTTGTTTCGCAATATATTTTTGTCCTACTCTCTAGACTTTGCGAATATTTTGTGGTTATTGCTTGTTCAAATTTAAAATTATTAGTCAATTTACAATGCACATTTAACAATGAGAGTGATTGTATGAAAATTTCATTATTGGCACAAGTAGCCACGAACTCGCACACTTGACGTAAGTAATAAATATTATTTTTGGCGTACTAAGTAAAATAATTTCTGTTGCACTTTAAAATTCATGCGTAGAATATGGATTATCTACAATATTAACTTCAACATATATTCTGAAATTTGTGCTATGGGAAAGAAATTAAGTTTAATAAATTAAATTGGACTTCTTAACAACTTTATCTTTTATTCCCTCTTTTTACTTAAATATTAACGCACCGCTCACTTCCAAATCCTCGTAAATTGCCGTAGTCTGAGATGCAAGATATGAAGGCGATATTTCCGCAATCGAGCTCCACCATATTTGGGCCGGCTTAACTCGAATTAAATAGACAGGAATGCCGCGCACAAGTAGGAAGAATGCCATTTTTTGCCGGGGCACTTTGGTTTCAACGTCACCTCGAATAATCCCAGAGACCTTGAAAATTTATGTGGGAAGAAAGCTAAATCTCTTTTTTTATTTTATTTGCCATAAAAATGAATTATTTTAGCTAAAGATTTTTTCTTTTTCGAAAATCAGGCCTGGTGGAATTCCGTCTATTTTATAAAAAAGCTATTTTTAACGAACTTTTTATAAAATCTGTGGTTTTTCAAATAATGACTATTTTGAGCAATTCATTCCTAAAACTGACTCAAACCATGTTTCAACTAGTTGGGTTATCACTTTTTCAGAGCTTTTCTATGCGCAGCGCAATATCATAGCCTTAAGAATTCTTAAAATCTCCCTTGTCAATATAAGATGCATTCTTGCAAACCGCTGATATGTAATTCAAATGACGCAAGTGTTGATGCTATCTATTTTGAAAACACTTTTAATTAAGAGAGGGGGGTTGAATTTAAGCCCATTAGGAAAATTGCTATTGCCAAAACCCGGAAATCTTTTAAGCTCAAAGCACTACAAAGCATATATTCATGAAAGACTTGATTTGTATGCAAGAATCGTAGAAATCATGGCAAAATCTGCCAAACCCTCACACCTTGGTTCATTACTTCCACAGACAGGCAACAGTTGTCCAAACGGTGAATTTGAAAAATCCCCTTAATTTACCTATTCTAATTGAGAATTTTGCGTCGAGATAGTCATTGAAATTTTATGCCATATTGTTCTGCATAATTTGTAAAAAAACTAATATTTTAGATAGAAACAATTAGTTGACAACTACAACAATTAGCGCATTGAGTAGTTAAACATATTCTCAACGTAGTGTAACTTTGTTTTCATTTTAACGAAACCAGCAAAGAATTGTGCGTTGTCACAGAACTGGTATTTGGTTACGAATTCGGAATTGATATGCCAGTGTAGAAGCTATGATGATAATATCACAAAACTAGCTTATCATTATTGTAATCATCCTAGCAAAAGAAATTTATTTATAACTTATAAGATTGAATTAAAATAGCGACCTATTCCAGTATAGACAAAAGCCCTAGCTAATGAAATTCCTTGAGCAACGTTATACTCGATTCATCATATTACGTTTAATTCAGGGGTGCGCAATAGACTTACCTCCACGTGGTGCACCCTGGGCAACGTATATTCATACGGCAAAATAGTCTATTAACTGGCAGTTGACTTCTCACTTCAAACTATCATCACCTCACTCTATGCCATATTCGACTATTTTCACAGTACTTACCTCACCTTTGTTCTACCTTTGTGTTTGTCTCTTACATCTTTGAAACACTCTTCTGTTCCACCCCCCTCCCCTCTCAACCTTTTTTGTCACTTTGATGTTTCTTCCACTCTGTGAAGCCTGAAGTCAACTTAAGGGCTAATGATAATCATTAAGACCCCTGCCATTTGATATAAATAAATAAATGTTTAATTCAAACTAAAAGTTTTTTTCCGGCGTTGGTTTCTCCTTTTCTTAGTTGAGTTTGTACCTGTGTTTTTTTGGATCTAACCCAAACAGTTTATGACGTAAATTAGACTAATGTTGGTATTTCGGAGAAAGGTACATGTACTTTCAAAATAGCAGTTTAACTGTGGTAAAATATCCACTTCATGTACCTAATCTTTTCAATTCCGAATGTGTTGTTTCTATGCGCAAATAAATAACATAAAATTTCTAAGAGCGAAATCCTGAATTAATTTTTGCTTCCCTTCCATTAACGACACTTGTCCATCCAATTCATGCATAAAATTACCAAGTCAAAACGTTTTTCGGGAAATGCAATAAACGCGTCATTAGAATTAGCAAAATTCAATTGAGATATCTTTCGTAAATCTAATAATATGATATAACATAATAGTTTCTCAATTATTTTGATAATTTCAAGGCAAATGACATTGCCTTTAAAATAATAATTAACTTAAATCGGGCACTCTCTAAAAATTTCCTGGTTCTTATTTGCATCGTTTGATTGACGTATGATCAAAACTCCAATTCTTCAGTTATTTCACATTACATTACAAGTTAAAATTAGAAATCAGTACCATTCTGCCATTTTAATATACCTACAAAGATTGTAATGACTTCATCATTCAGTTCTTCAAATTAAGTCATCCAATATGTAATGTTGAATTGGTTATAATTAAAAGGTCAAGATGATGCATAAGTCTTTATCTACTTCTATAATTTCCATAATGTTTTGACAGCTGAACTGCCACTCAACTACGTGGATTGCTTAAAGAAAATAATTCTTACAGATCAAAAGGCTTTAATCTCAATCGCTTACAATCCTGGATACAAGAGCGAATCTTTGCAAATACTCTGAGCTTAAATTATACCTCAGCTATATATTTTTGCTAAAGTGAATAGAACATTGCCAATGAACGGCTTTTAGATTTTATCTTTTGCTATCTAAAATGTGTATGTAGTCATAACTCACTTTAAGCTTTTTCAATTTGTCAGATATTAATGCTCTTTTGCTTAAATCCAATTATGCGATTTCAAATGGCCCTTATCACCTTAGGTTGATAAATTAGCCAAACTTTTAACTTTTCATTGAAATACGGTTATTCAATTGAACGAAAATGATTTCAATAATTTTTCGAAACTATGTTTGTTTGAGGTTGGGGTATTTTGTGCGCCAATGCGAGAACCTTCAAACTGTGTGATTTTGAGAAAATACCTACCAAATTCGTGAAATCGTTTCATTAAATAAGTAAACATTTTAAACAAAAATTATAGCCCATATTTAGACTTCATCATATTTTTGTTCGAAGCATCATATTTAAATTATTATATTGTTTGAATACTAAATATTATGAATTTAATCTAAACAATTTTTGAAAAATTTAGATTTTTAGTCAAATTTTATAAATGCATCAACTTCATCAAAGTAAAAGTAAAATCACTTACAGTGATGCTGGCAAAATTACAAGTTTCTTTTCCATTATGCTCGAAGAATACATCATTTTCCATTAAGTTTTTCTTTGAAAACATCCTAACCGTTCGATTCAACCTAAAAGAAGAGGTAAATTAATAGCTCGCTCAAAATACGGCAATTTCTGTTAAGACTTTTTGTTATAAATTTTTAATTTATCTGCTTTATATTAGATATTTGAAATTTCGCACATTTGCGATATGAAATGAGACTTTGCGAAAGCTGACTTCCACATGATAAACCCGAAATTATTTAACCTTTTTTATATTAAAAATGTATTTTTATTGTGTCTAAGAACATTATAATTTATAAAATTTAGTGATAAAGGTGATTTATGTTATAATGTTATTTGGAGAAAGACGGTTCGGTTTAATTATGTGTTATGATAAGTTTAATTAGGTATTACAGTTGATTACATCAAATGTTGATCTTTGGCTAAATCACATCTTCCACATGCATTTCTGTAAGTGATTTCACATCTATATCTAAATAAACCTAAAGAAAATCTCTGAAATTTGTGCTAACAACCTTATTTTTATTTCAATGATGTTAAATTTAGAGGAAACAAAAACTGTATCAATTTATACCATTAGGTAAAATTCTTCAATTTGTATAAATATTCCAAATACATCAATACCAACTGTTACTGTTACTATCATTGCTTGGTTTGAGCATTACGCTTCAATAAAAATACAGTAAGGATTGATTTAAGTAAACCAGTAAAAACGCGTGTAAGGCCGAATTATTTTCATAGATTAGTTGATATCACCTAGAAATTATAAATGGAATCGGTTGGCAACGTTATATTTAACGTTTTTAAAGTGAATAGACCTCACTTCTAATGTAAATTCGAATTATGTAAAGCAACTGGATGATCTTTAAAGAGTTTCTTCTACGTCTATTATCGTTATTTGCTTAATGATTTTCATTTAGTTCACTGGTTTCTAAGACAGTTTTCTGCATATGACTCATTGTCTGCCTTTGGGGTGTTTATTGTTTATATAGAAGGTGCATTACAACCTGTCAATTATTTTTATTTTCACATTCCTAAATTTCAAAACTCGTAAAGTTTTCGTGTCTACTTTATGCTAATTGTTGCACTAGTCTGACTTGATGGAACTACATTCGTTACAATAATTTAGCTTATCAATAATACAAGTTCTCTGGCCATTCTTTTTGTAATGAAAGCATATCCAGAAAAGCAATTTATCTACAAAGGATTCCATCGATGGATTTAGGTCAAAAACTAAAAACTAGATTTGATCAGCGATAATTCTAAGCTTCTGCTAAATATAGGATTTCATTTTGCTGCAAAGACGAATCGCCCACCGCGTCAGTAACGTGTGCGAATCTAACGGTCTTTTTTATGGCAAAAGCGTTGGCACTTTTTTGTCCTATTCACCTTCATTTTCTTTCGTATGGTTTCTGTCTTTTACCTTCTTTTCTTACTGTCTCGATTACCGCTGACACATTGCCTACAATTTATTATTTTAAATGCTAAATCAAGCTGTATGTGTGTGGTAGAGAGCAATTATGTGGATTTCCAAAGGTTACCAGGAGCCACCCGATTAGAAATGTTGCATTTTTCACCACGAATTCTTTATAATAATCCTTACCCAATTCGACTTGAAAGAGAATTTCTTCAGTAATCGGAATGTTAATCTAGGGGCCAAATTTCCTTTTTTCTGCAATGATATAAGTTATAACGGTAGAAACTGATTCAAACCATTCATCACTAGTCAGTTAATGGTTGATTAAATTGAATCTTGTTCCAATTTTCATGATAAAATAGTGCCAATCCATATCCAAATATGAGAATAAGTAATTAAATGAAGGTATTTAATTTTCGCAGTGGTAAATTAAAACCCGTTGAGTAGTTCAAATTTGGCTTAAAGATAAATTTAAGTATGGGGAAATGGAGTTTCCCTTGACTGAGCATAATCATATTTTGAATAGTTTTGTTAGTTCATTTGCAAAAATTAACTTGCTCGGCATTAAGTACTATTGAATGCTATCACTAATCAACAATGTATGGAT